AGACACTACTTCAAATACAATAGTAGTGTAAGAGATTTCTTCATGTAGAGGCTTTCTAACTTCTTCCACGATCCCGCAATCGTCTCTTCATCCGCGACTTCTCGTAGTACCTTATCCGACAATGATAATTATAGAGCACTATAAGCCTTTTCATCCATCTCTTCAATTTTGGTAGAAGTCATGTCATCCGGGTATATAACCTCAATTACCTTGATAAAACCTTCACATCATAACAAAGCTTTCATCTTTATTCTTTATAGGCCAAAATTATTTTGGCCATTAAAAGGTGAAACATTAAATTTCGGAGTTGCCATTACGAACGAGAAAAACCTAAAGATATATAACTTATGCTCGATACCGGTTTGTTATGATAAACAACAAAAACAAGATAAGTAATGGCAGATAATAATTAAAAGATAAAGCTAAAAAAATTATAAACACATAGGATTTGTGAGATTTGGAAAATTGCATACTTTACGGGTGAGAGGAAAGTTTTATTAGCTTGATAATAGGAGAATACAAGAACCATGAAAGCTGAATGTAAACAAAGTCTTTATCTTTCACTCTAATTCCTAAACAGAGACATAAGGAGGTTTAGATACCTCGTATCTATAAAAGAAAAAACCTAATGAGCTAAATATATTAGTGGTCCACAATAATGAAGCCATATATGATAGAGTGGAATGATGTGAAAAGAGTTCAAAAAGATCAATGATTGTAGGGTGTTTTAATTTTTCTTTCGTTTTTATCCTATATCTCTACTTTCTTTTTTTTTTTCATTAACTTTTTGAAATAAAGGTATTAAATTATATTTTTTACATTTACATGTGAAGAAAAAAGTTACACATATTTTTTTTTATTTTTGTTTGTAGCATCGAGTTAAATCGATCGTCGGACCCCTCCGTCGGAAGATACATCAATTCAATATCGAATCCATTCTAAGTCTTTATATAACTAGTATATTGAAACACTACTTAATTTCTAAAATATGATTGATATGAGCTAACATCGGTCCCTATTAGATAAAAGACTTTGTTAAATTTTTACCTAGTATTCTTTATATATTTTATTTTCTTTTATTTTTCTTTTTTTAGCTTATTTTTACCTAGCATTTTCTCTCTCTCTATTTTTATTTTTCTTTTTTCTCTCTTTTTTCTTTATCATTTTTCCTTCTTTCTTTTAATTTTATTTTTTTCCCTCGCATTTCTTTTTATTTTCCTACCATTCCTTTCTTTCTTTCTTTCTTTCTTTCTTTCTTTATTTATTGGTGGAAAATTATCATCAATCTCTAAAAATTGGGAGACTCGATAATTTTTTCACCTATTAATTAGCTAACCTAATTATTGAAATATATTTTAAAATTAAACATTAACTAAATAAATTTTTGGAAATCCAAAATATTAAATCCAAATTAAGCATGAAATAAAAATATATAAATAAAGGGCATTTAATGTTAATTTATCTATAAAAAATGCAATTAAAGCATTGAGCTTTTTTAATTTGTTTTTTGGGTTAGTGGGCCCTCGACCCACTGGGCTAGCCTAACTAAGCTGGCAGCCTCTCTATTTCTTTTTTTTTTTTTTTTATGGGTTCGGGCTTGGTCGGCCTCTTTTTCGGGTGGGTTGGGCTTGGCCAAACTCACCCTATTTTTTCTTTCTCCGGCTTAGACCCAATCCATTAACATACTTCCATTTCTTTCCTAAGTTTATTTCAATCAAAACCCATCTCTCTCTCTCTCTCTCTCTCTCTCTCTCTCTCTCTCTCTCTCCCTCCTTCTACTTTATCTCTCCATCTCTACCTTTTTAAAATAGCTCATCTAGTCAATCCATCGTCTTCTTCTCACTTCCCCATCTAAATCAATTTCTTTCCTTCTGTTCCAAGCCAATGACCAAACTCTCACTTTTTGTTTGAAATTGAATCCCTAGCTCTTTGTTCTTAATAACAAAAACCTTAGTTCTTCCTCTTCCTTCAACCAAACCCGAACTTCACTCCTCGAGCAATTGCCTTTCCACTATTAGACAAATCAAAGCCCAATAAATTTTCCCTAATTTCCTTCCTTTCTTCCTAAATCGAAACCCTAAGCTTTTAGACACTTCTTGAATCGAACCAATTCATAATCACTCCGGCAATTTAGACATAAGTTTACCCTTGAGTATCTAAGAGTGTTACAAATAAATAGTAGTGTTGCGTGAGTTTAGTATAATTTTACAATCAATTTGTAATTTCTTACTTTTTGTTTAAAGTTTTTTGTCATGAAAACTAAAATTAAGATGGAAGCCATTTTTCTATTCGATATATTTTAACTCCAAAGTTTTTGCATTAAATATCAATGAAATATTCTACTCAAATTAAGGCACTAGAATTTCATAATGTATTTCCTCACTAGATGAAAATTTTAAGGCATTCAAAGAACACAAAAGTGGAAAACTTTTAGTGTAATAATTTTGGGTAGAAGAATTTTTCCTACTTTCATATTTCTTACTTTGAAAATTTCAATTTTCAAATTAAGGTTTCACTCATAAATTTAACTTATTAAATATTTTCCTAAAAATTCTCTTAATTATAATCAAATTAAATTAAAATATGATATTGTAAGGGAATTTGTAGCAACGTACATCATTCTATTTATGTGAGGTTTGTGATTAGAAAATCAAAAGTGAAAAAACAAATACTTTGCTCCTTTCTTGACATATACTTTTTTCTTCGTGTGGGTATATATATATATATATATATATATATATATATATATATATATATATATATATATATATATATATATATATATATATACACTAAAATTTTCAAAGTAAGAAATATGAAAGTAATAAAAATTAATCTACCCTAAATTATTATAATAAAAGTTTTCAATTTTTTTTTCTTTGAATGCATTAAAATTTTAATCTAATGAGGAAATACATGATGAAATTCTAGTGCATTAATTTTAGTGGAATATTTCATTGATATTTAATGTAAAATCTTTAAAGTTAAATTATCTCGAATTGAAAATGGCTTCCATCTTAATTTTAATTTCCATGAAAAAAATTTTAAACAAAAAGTAAGAAATTACGAGTTAATAGTAAAATTATACTAAACTCACACAACACTGGTATTTATTTGTAACACTCTTAGATATTCAAGAGTATGCTTTATGTCGCTATTGATATATAAGACCTCTCAATTAAAAAAGTTAAAAATTAGAGTCGCTACCTAATATTTAAAGGAGATTAGAAAACCGAAATGGTTAGTTTTAAGGGGTCGGAGGTAAGGAATTGATTATGTTCTATTAGAAAGATGAAAATAATTTCTCTTAAAAACAATATTATTTGGCCAAATGGTTGGACGTCTTGTTTGGCCGTTGAAGTAAAACTTAGTAGCACCGAATTGGATTTTCATGTCCGATAGATTCAATATCTTGCTAATGTTTTATTTGTCCCAGACATTTGTGGATCTTTGTCTTTGGTTTTGCATATTTTCAACTAGAAAATTTCAATTGTTGTAATTATAGTACTATTTATTTGTATTGTTTTATTGTGCTTCTGAATTTGTATCATATGATTTGTATATTGTTTAATTTTCTATTTTTTATTTAATCATTTTTTTTATTTTTTGATAATTACTTGATATAAATACTAACAATTTTAGATCATGGATTGGATATATATATCGCTTATAAATTTATATCCTCAACTAATTTTTAAAATACAAAAACAATTGGCGCAAATTTAAGATTGCATTGATTTTTAACGTGAATATACTTCATCTTACATAAAATATATTGTAGATAGTTATTTCTATGCCATCTAAAGATGGGTATGCACCTATCTTACAAACAAACATGTTTTCATCGTACTATTACATATATTATTTTCTTGTCTTTTGTTGAAGTGTGTATGCTATATTTGTTACAATTTATATATAGCATGTTAAGGCGTTGTCTACAAATTAATATTGTTCTCTTTTGAGTTTTTCAACAAACAACACGTGGAAAATTGTATATAGCAGGTTTCTTGTGGCACATAACTCTTCTATAAACAAATTAGAGATAGTTGATGGATGAGGATTGAAAAATTAAAGATCATATTTGAGATAAGATCATATATATATATATATATATATATATATATATATATAGATATAGATTGTGCTTGACTAGACAAAATCAACATAAAGAATTGAAAATTTTGTTATACAAATTTCCGAACATGCATGGATGGATCGGCAAGTATCTTAGCTAGCAAAGGTAATTCTACAGAGTTAAGAAAAACATCATAGATACTTGTTCCAAGTATTTATTGGCTAGAATTTACTTCATATCTTTTTTTCTGTTCTTTCCTTTTTTAAATAAATCGAAAGATTGAAATAAGTGAAGCCAAAGGGAATATACTTCATTTCTGAATGCTAAAGGTCAACATATATTACTGTTCTTTCAACTCTTCCCGGGGATGGAAGCTTGTCAAGTTTTGCTTTGTTTCTTTATTGCCATCGAAAAAATTACGTGCGCGTTGAATATTCTTATATTGACTCCTGTGACTTTTCTCTTCTTGGTCAAATATCAGCAAGCAATTACAGTATGCAATCATAACATTTGGGGTTTGTCACCCCCGAATTCGTCACAGCAAATTCCTATCCAATGACTAGGAAGTTTCGAATTTAAATTTTCATTGATTGGTCAAGGTAAGGGAAAAAAGAAAAAAAGAAAAAAAGAAGAAGTTGAATTTGACCAGCTTCGAAGTACGGAGCGTCGGGATGCCTATAAATAGGGCGCAGCATGCATGCTGATGTTTTATAATCCAATTGATTCATCAGACAGATTCAACCTGCAACAAAAACTTATACTTCATACATTCATTTATTCTTGTATTCATTGTCAGCTACTTAATATACATTCTTTTATTCAGTCCTAATTGATCTCACCCAACATTAGTTAGGTACCTTAGGTCACCGAAGTTGCGGAGTGTGGTACGTGCGTACAACTCATAACAAAAACTTACTCCTATACTATGGGAAGTATTGGCAAGTTGAGTCGTTACTCCTTTCCAGATGGTTTTGTTTTCGGATCTTCTTCAGCGGCCTACCAGGTAATTAAACATGTCTCTAAACCTCATCCCATGCGTACGCTGTTAAAAAAACCTTAATTCTGAGATTAGCTGATGAAGTTACTTGGCATTGCAAATGTCACTCGCATATCCGTGCATGATTGAAGATAGGAATGCTTCATGAATTGTTTTCTAACAACACTTATTTTATGCAGTATGAAGGTGAAACAAGCAGAAGTGGTAAAGGGCCCAACATATGGGACACTTTCATTGAGGAGCATCCAGGTATATCTCTCTCTCTCTATTAGTGAAGGAGTTTGCTACTATATATAAATATGTATCAATTTTATCTCAAAATTCAAAGGAATTAATTTGAGGATGCATGCCTTGTGAAAAATTTCAGAGAGGATAAGTGACCATAGTAATGCAAATGTGGCAGTTGATTTCTATAATCGCTATAAGGTATGAATTAAATTATCATTTTCTTTTTCTTTTTTATAGTTGTTTTTTGTCGATATGACCGCCATACGTACATGGATTTAATTATTTCAATAAAATGTTACAGGAAGATGTGCAAAGAATGAAGGAAGTGGGAATGGATGCTTTCAGATTCTCTATTTCTTGGTCTAGAGTGTTACCACGTAAGTATTATTTTTTTCCTTCTTCTTCTTCCTTTTTTTTTCTTTTTTTTAATTCGTACTCTTCCTTACTTTGATATTTTTTCCCCCTTTCAACTACTGTATTCAGATGGCAGACTAAGTGCAGGAATAAACGAAGAAGGGATCCAATTTTACAACAATCTCATCGATGAGCTCATAAAAAATGGTTATAACCTTTTCCTTTCCTTCGATGACGAGTTTGATTGATAATATATACTGTTATTTTGCCTAACTTTCAATGTCTACATTTTCCAAACTTTCGTATATTTGGTGCTTAGAAAATAAGAATTTGACACTAAAATCTTTTTAAAAACACACATTAATTGAGATAAAATATCTATTTATTTTACCTTAATTATTTGATATTATGTAATGTGCAGGTATACAGCCTTATGTAACTCTCTTTCATTGGGATACTCCACAAGCACTAGAAGATAGATATGGTGGATTTTTAAGCCCTGATATTTTGTAAGTAACCGTCTAATTTATATTAATTAATTAATATTATATAAAAAATATCTCATGATTTTTAAATTTCTATGTATCTTTGCAGAAGATTTTCAGAAGCTCATTACAATAAAATTATTCCCACAGCTCTTGAATCTAACAGTTTCAATTTTCATATATATATATATATATAGAAATGATTTCCGAGACTTTGTGGAACTTTGCTTCCAAAAATTTGGAGACCGAGTGAAGAATTGGATCACGTTAAATGAGCCTTTCATGTTCAGCGTCAATGGTTATGACACGGGCACATTAGCTCCTGGTAGAATTTCAACTATGGAGAACTCATGTCCAGGCCAACCCAAAATCTCAGGTGCCACCGAGGTTTACATAGTGACCCATCATCTATTACTTGCTCATGCAACAGCTGTGAAAGTATACAAGGAAAAATATCAGGTTTGCAAAAGCTCAAAACTGTAATTTTTTCAATGTAACTATTGGGATGGTTTGCCATCGTTTTTCACCCAACTCGTAAACGCAGTTGTGCTAATTAATTTTTACTTTGACAAAATCATTAGGCCTGTCAACGAGGACAAATTGGAATAACACTCGTTTCTCATTGGTTTGAACCTTACTCAAACAGTGAAGGTGATCAGAATGCAATGAAACGAAGCCTTGATTTTATGCTTGGATGGTAAGTATTTTGTATGAAGTAAGACAGTAATGGAAAGTCAACTTGGGTTAAACCATGCATGATCATTCTAATTGATTAAATATCCTTGCATGTTTTTGGCAGGTACATGAGTCCTTTAACTACAGGTGACTATCCACAGAACATGCATGACTATGTTGGAGGAAGATTGCCTAAATTCAGTGAAGAGGAATCTACGATGCTGATAGGATCTTATGATTTTATTGGAATCAATTACTATACTACATATTACGCTCGGAATGTTGAGGATGTTAATTATAAAAACATTGGGTTTATGGAAGATGCTCGTGTTATTTGGCCAGGTAAATTTATAAATGGCCAAAAAGCTTGCTAATTAGATAAAAAGAAATCAACAAAAATTTAAGAAAAATAAAAGTTTTAAATTTTTGCTGTAATTTTTTTTGCTATTTATAATGTTGGAAAATTAATTTGATTTATTTTGCTATTTTATAGGGGAAAGAAATGGAATACCAATTGGTCCACAGGTGAGTGTGATCCTCGAATTACGGATAGTTGTAGCTAGTTTCAACAAATTGCATAATTTTTTTGTTCTTTTAAAAATTGCATAATTGATTTATAAAATTTAAAAAATCCAATTTGCAGGCGGGTTCAAGTTGGCTTTATATTTATCCTCGAAGGAATTCGTCATCTTTTGAATTACATTAAAGATGCGTATGGAAATCCGATAATATATATCACCGAAAATGGTAAGATAAAAGTTTATTAACAATTAATCATATTGATAATAATATTTCTATATGTATGTTTAAGGTTTTAGTTGTTAATAGATTCTGATTTTCCAATTTCTTGATATATATAGGAGTTGATGATGTGAAATCCTCATCATTGGAGGAAGCTCTTAATGATCCCATAAGAGAGAAGTCTTATAAAGACATTTTTCACAATGTTCTTGAATCCATCAAGTGAGTTCAACCTTTCCAAAATTTATGTTCTTTAGGTCATTATGTCTTGTCAAATAAGTAGTTTTATAAAACTATAAGGTTTCAAATTTCTTTCTCTATATTTTAACAAATTATATATATATATATATATATATATATATATATATATATATATATATCAACTCCAATTGATAAGGAATTAAATTTTGCGAGTGACCATGGTGTTGATGTTAAGGGGTTTTTTGCTTGGTCCTTTTTGGATGATTTTGAATGGGGATCGGGTTATGGTTCAAGGTTTGGGCTCTACTATATTGATTATGAAAACGGCTTGAAACGACATGCCAAAAATTTCGTGAAGTGGTTTAAGCAATTCCCGAAGAAAGACAAAAATATGTAGGACTTCTTTCATTAACTATTAATTTGATTTCATCCTCACGAGAAACAAGCTCTTAACTTGAAGCCTTATGTCTTTCTCATTTGTTTTCCATTCGGAAAATCAAAGATTCCCTCAAACTCTCAAATGGAAGATGGATCGGCTCGAGGCCGTAAGAAGCCAAGAACCGAATAAAGGTTATTGACATTGAATTTAAATAAAGGTATTACATTCCTCTCCTTCTTTTATTTTGGTTTCTATCTTTGTTTTATTTTATTTTAAAATAATTCTCATGCATTACAAACTAACTAACTTATTAAAAATGCGAAAAAATCGTAGACCGTATAGTTATAAATAAAAGGATAGTTGTGTACTACTACAAGAAGTAGTTGCAACCACGTTGATTCCTATGGAAATGGCACCATAGGATGAAGTCAAAATTAGTAGCACCATGTTGGATTTCCATGGCGGACGTATTCTATTTCTTGTTGGCGTCTTATTTGTTTTGGATATGATCTGTAGATCTTTGTGTTTGGTTTCATATATTTTTATCTAGAAAATTTATGTTGTAATTATAGTACTCGTCGATTTGTATTGTTTTATTGTGCTTCCAAATTTATATTTTTCAATTGTATTATTTTTTATTTTTTATTCAATTTTTTATTTTTTATTTTGATAATTACTCGACTTAAATTATAAATAGTACCAACTTGATTTGTGGGTGTATCTTCAATCTTGAGTTTCTAAATTTAAACCATAGAATTAGTTACATTTGGATTAATTATTTCTTTAAATGTATAAAAATTCATTTGTGAGTATATCTTTTAAGTCATCTATGACTTAAATTTAATTTTGATTTATGTATGAACCAATACCAAAATATCATAATTGTCTAAGAAACTAAGAATTTATCATGCAAATTAGTCAAATTTAGCATGTTATTTGAAGACACTCATTGATATAATGCCAAAGATCAAACTATCCTAACATATTTCTATAAAAAAAATAATATAAAGAGAAAAACTGGTAAGAAAAAAGCCTTTAAAAGAGAAGAATAAAGCCCTATTGAAACTAGTGATGCCCATGATGACACTCTCTTTTGGGAAATAATTTATAGCTCTCATGTTTTTTTGTATTAGTCTCGCTTAAAGGAACTTTGACTTTACACACTAATTTAACTAGTTACGTAAGTATAATTGATATTAAATAACAATAATTGATAAATTAATTAAATAAAAAGAATATATCACTAATGTAATTGTAACACAAGATTGTGTAGATTGTCGAGAAAGGTATGGTCCGAAATGTAGAGGTGTTGCTTAATTTTTTTTTAAAGAAAAAAAACTAAGAAGAACCTATTATTAATCTTTAGAGTTTTGGCAAATGAAATTGGTTATATAATTGGAGAGAGCCATGATCACCCTAGATTATCCTTGTAATACATATAAAAAAAATTATGCAAAGTTTAGTTTTTGTATTCACTTATCTATTTTGATTTATAAGCCAATTGATGAGTTTTTTTTTCCCCCTCAAAATAGTAAAGACATAGAATTTGAGTATATATCAACCTTTTATGCCATTCTAATAAGTAATCCTTTGCAAATTTTTGTATTTATCATACCTAAAATTTTTCTTTTTTCTTTTTTTTTCATTTTTATTTGAGTTTTTCCTTTGTTATTTAGTTCATGTTATTTTTTTCCAAAAAAATAATAAATAATAAATAAATAAAAACTGAAATGGAAAGACAAATCCCCTTTATCTTTATGGCCATTTTCCAAATGTAATCTCCTTACAATCCCGACCTCTAAGCAACAACTTGCCAATTCCCTCTACAATCTAAGACAAAACACTACACCGTAACTTGTCCTAAATTATCCCCCGGACAAACCCACCTCCACCTTTCCACCCCCCGCCGCAAGCTATCCCGTATGCCCTACTAAGCCTTCATTCTTGTAGCCCATAACCATGAACTACCTCTAGGTCAACTCACTCCATACCATCCCCGCCAAGCCACCCAAACCCTCAAACTATCAAGCTACAATATAACCCCACCGCCTAACTCCTAGTCCACAAAACCTTCTACCACAAGCCACCCAAACCCTCAAGCTATCAAGCTACACTACAACCCCCTCTCACTCCCAATCTATAAAACCTTTTTCCATAAGCCACCAAGCCCCCTCAATCATGCTTTGCATCGTACAACAAAACAGGATCATCCTTGTCGTCAACTTATCCCATATAAATCCCTAACCAGCACCACTACAACTTGCTAGCCACCATACTCCACCCTTGCTCAATCACCCTAAAACATCACTACCCGACCATTCGACACCATACCTATCAATAGGTTCCCCAAGATAACCAAAAGAAAGAGGGATGAGCCAACCAATTCGGATAAATAGAGGAAACAAAAACAAAGAAGAAGGTCAGCTTTTGAAAATTGAAATGAAAACAAAAATAAAACACAAACAGACAAAATCGGTTACCAATTAAACAAATAAAGGAGAAGAAAAAAGAGGAGATGCTACCAACCGATGGAGAAGAGGAGGGAAGAGAGGAGGAGTTGCTGCAAACTCATGATGAAGGAGAGGGAATTGAGGAGAAGAAGGAAATGAAAGAAAGAAGAAGAAAATGAAGGAGGAAAAGGGAATAGATGGAGGGAAAAAAGAAGAAAAAAGATAAAATGGGAGTTTGGGGAGTCGTTAGCGTCAATAGAGGATTTTTAGGGGTGGTTGCGCTGCTAGCAAAGAAGAAGAAGATAGAACGAGAAAAGAAAAAAAATGGAGAAAAATTCGATAAAATCCTATTTAGGAATTTTGCGTTTAGTGGTGATCTTCAATCAATTTCTCCTTGAAGGCTAAACTATTTAAGAACCCATTTGGTGTTTGAAAAGGAGAAAAGTAGGGACCTATTACTAGAAGACAACGGTAATCTCTAGAGGGTGAATTCCCGTGCTCTATTGAGCTTTTTAATCAGCATTCATTTTTTGAAGTGCAATTCTAGCTACGACTTAAGCTTCCTCTAAGACACTACCAAAATAAAGAGATTTAGCAATGATTTAAATCGTTACCGAAACCTAAAAAATTGTTGCTAATAAATATTAGTGATGATTTAAAATTGTCCAAAAAACCCTTGTCATTAAATCTTTAGCAATGGTTTATTGTATACCCTCGCTAATTTAGCGATGGATTTACCATCGCTAAAACATTTACTATCCATCGTTTACATGAAATAAGGTCATGGATTTAGTGATCGTTTATGAAACCATCACTAAATATGGATAATTTAGCAACCATTTTTTAAAATTGCTACTAAATCCGTCTCTAATTAGTGACACTTTTAGCGACTTTTTCAAAAAAATCATTGCTAAATATGAGAAAATGTCTCGTTTTTAGCAACATTTGAAAAATCATTGTTTATTTTATTTTATATATTTTCAGTTATTTATTTCATTACTAATGAGAAAAATTAAATTCATTCCAATTTAACAACTACAATAACGTTATGAAATAGATTTATAAATATTATGAAACTTTTATAATATATAAAATTCAAACAAAATAAAATATAAATTTAAACAATAAATTATTTTAAATTTTATTAATTTTTTAGAAAAAGAAAACTTAGAAGTGATGAAAAATTATATTGTGATGAAAAAGATGCATGTAATGATATATCATTATTTTCATCAAACATTTGATGGTCAATCGTAGGATTGTTGGATGAACTACTTCTTTACATATTCAGCAAGATCTACTACATTTGTTAGATCATCGCATGCTACTCCCGAGTATACTTGCTCCAATTGATTTGTAGTAGCTAGGAGCGATGTAACAAGCACCTTCTAGTTTCTCGATCTTTTCTGTTTGTCTACAAGAATGACCTCTATTTTCTTTCGCTATGTCTCAATATCGACGTGAAACCACAATATGGCCTAAGCGAGAGGATATATTGGCATTAGAGCAATATTGAGAGGCCTATGACCCGAGTCCGTATATCCATTTTCTCTTGTTAACTCCTCCTCCAACAGTCTTCTTAAAAATCTCGTTCATGTCGATGTCAAATGATGAAGTACCCTCTGTCTACTAGCTAACAACCTCCTACTCAAATATTTTTTTTGATAGTGTCATACATAATTACATAAATTTTAATATTAAATAGTTATCCTAATAAGTTTTATAAAAGTAATATACACATGAAATAACCTTATAAATTACTTACTTTCATAATTCTTGCCCGTTGATTGATAAATATGTACTTATCATCGGCTTTCTTCCCGTGAGTCCTCAAGAAAACATCATGAACATCAAGTTCACGACCCAACTCATTATGCTCGAAACAAATATACTTAAATATTTATTGATGTTGCAATAACTCTAAATAACAAACGATATATATATATATATATACACATACACACACACACAAACAAACACACACACACACACACACACACACAATGCTATTGAATTCTTTCTATGCGTGATCAAACCCACTCGTATATCTAAATTAAACTAAATTTAATTATTTTAATAAACAAATAATTTACTTATTTTAAGAAATAAAAAACTTAATTAACTACTAGATTAATTAAACTAACATGTAATTGTTAATTTATACTAAATTTAATTAACTTCAATAACAACTAATTA